GTTTTCACCCGCGCTTAAAAGAAATTCAGATTCAATGAATTGGCAGAAATCTTATTGAAGACAACAAGAATGGGAGCAGGAGCGGGAGTCATTCTGAATGGGAGCGGGATGGGAGTGGGAGTAATTTCACATGGAGTGGGACGGGACAGGATTTAGATTTCTACTCTGGCCCAGGATCGGGACGGGACACCATTTTTTTCTGTGGGAGTGGGACAGGACAGGAGTGAAAATCCACTCCCGTGTCAGTCTCTAATAACCAGGCCTTTAGGAGAGATGCACTAGAATGTCTGCAGAAGGGGGGGGCATCTGCATTAACTACGACGTCCTGGTTTCTGAGCATAAACCAGGCTTTAGAGGTGGTGGCGTTTAGCGCTGATTGAAAGTCAATGGTGATGATTTCCTGCAGGGGGCAGCGTCGCTCCGACTGAGATGGAGCCCAGGTCTGTTTTAGTGGGACTACGCAGCAATTCAGCAGCAATTTCATGGGTCTGACAGGAAGAGAGACGCAGTTAGAAAGTAAAACACATCCGCTTTGGGGGAAAATACAAAATAAAATCTGTTAATCTGACAGAGAAAGAGTCCGTTTGGAGTCACACATCGTGTTTATAGTGAGCAGGACAGACTGGAGCAAAAACATTAAAACAGAAACTTTCCCCATGATGGGAGCTCAGGAGGACAGGAAACGGATAAAGCAGTTGATCGTCTTTGAGCATCACAGAAACCAGAATAAGGAGGAGCAGACAGAGCAGGTCAGCGTTTCTCTCTCACCTCTTTATGGAAAAAAGAAAGAAAAACTTCCCAGATGTCTCTGAGAATCACCTCTCTGCCTCAGTCACCATAGAAACCATCCCATGCCATTAATAGCTGTTTTCTTTCCATTCTTTAGATGTAGATCTCATTATGTTTTTAATATATGAACATTCTCTATCTGTTCTGGTTCTAGATGCTCCACAGACTCGCTAAGTAGAGCTTTGCTTTATAGAATGCACCGCTTTATAACTTTTCATAATCTGTTCCAGTCAAATCTGTGTAAAATAATCGGCACAGATCTGCTCACACTTTCCAGTGTGACATGGAAAAAAATCCTGAGATTAATCATCTCTGATCTCTTATGATAATCAATAATCAGAGATTAAAAAGTCGTACGCAACCGGTGTGTTCAGGGCTTTAGATGATGGTTCTGATCCACTGAAATCATCAGAACCTTTCTAATTGGTCCAGTTCCTCCATCCAGCTTCCAGTTTTTCTGACGAATCCCTGAAGGTTCTGTTTCACTAATGGATTTCCATAGATTTCCATGGACCATCATCACCGAAAGAAACATTTCCATCGTTTTGAAGCAAAAGAAATAAAGAAAAAAGGTTCCTACCTGCATTTTCGGGCACCCAGTCTGTTCAGAGACCTCATGTTGGATCGGTTTCCAAACGTCCTCAAATGATCGGAACCGTAGTGCCTTAAAGGAGGAGACTGGAGCGGGAAACAAAGCGGCATTAACTCCAGCTGCTTTTCATTCATTCCCCCCTGGAGACGCAGAGCATCGCCGACAGGGACTCACCTTCTTCTCCGGGGAGGTCATCTGCTGCTGCTCCATCTCCTCCACACTCACCACACCCGCTCTGAAGAGAGGGAAAGCCCAGAAACCTCAGTTAGAGACAGAAATATTCCAGAAGGTCCCCGTTTGAAACTATTTATTCATATTACAAGAGCATTAAACACAAATAAGATATTAGAGTTGGAAAAATTCTGAGGTCATCATCCATGACCTTCCTCCAGAATTTAGTGAATTATTTCCTCATGAAATCATTTTAAACGTCACATGCGATCTGCTCGTCAGTATTAGACCAATCAGCTGTTTTAGCCCCGCCCACTAAAGGTTAAATATGGGCTGCGTTCGAATTCATGGGCTGCGTCTTCCAGATTCAAAGGCCGATTACATCATAGCGCGGCGCCGAGGTCTGATTCGTCGGATTCCAAGAGTCCTCGTTATGCGGCCTTAAAATGCGTCCTTCGATTTGAGGGACGGG